TCCAAATTCAAATATACAAGGCATAAGGGGAAGCTCAAACTAGCTTAGTTTAAACCTTACGCTATTCACTGTATAAACAGCTACACTTCTTCGAATTTGGATATCTTACGAGTTTAACACGGCCCAACAATTCAAATCGATAAAATTAATTATCGATATGTTAGGTTTTCTTCATGGTTTTGTATACTTCAAATGTCCGTCATTATAAGAACAAAGGTGAATAATTGAAATAGCAATTTATCATCTTTATATACTTTCCAATTTTTAATTAATATTGAAATTGATGAAATATTGTGTAATTTGTATATTATTTAGATATGTGTAAATTTATTTAAAAAACTAATAAATGATTTACAACATACATGTAAAATTAAATATTTAACAAAAAATTTTCTTTGTAATCAGAACGCCAATTATATTTGTATTACAAATCAAGATATCAAGCTTCTAAATTCCAAAATTCGAAAATTCTTATAAATTTGACCAAAAAAAGATTGATAACGAAATTGACCTTTTATTTTAATGATTAATGATAATGTTGATACAACAGAATTCGATTTTCGATACAGTTAACCAAAAATAAATTCGTAATCGACAAATTCTTCATCGAAAGTTAATGAACTCTTTCCCGTTTCTTGAAAAGTTTCTTTCTTATTCGAAAAAATATTTAAAATAGTAATTTCTTCATCGTTCGGAAAATACGTTTAAATTTTTTTAAATTCGTCGTTGCAATAACATAATTGCATTTGAATCTGTTCCAAATTTCACGAATCTTTAATTTTATCATTATTAAAGTTACAGAATAAAATCTGAAATTTCATTTTTTATAAAAAATCAAATTAATAATCAAAAACAAAAAAAAATTTTAATTTCATATCTATATACAATTAAAGAATGACGCTCATTTGATATTGATCTTGCATTAGAAATTTGCAATGAAAAGAGACCTGGCTTTACTATTGAAACACCTAATTGTTATATTGAATTGGCAAAATTATGCATTTTTAAATTTAAGCCAAATCATATAAAAGTATTAAGAAGTCGAAGATACTTATTACATCGAATTTAATTTAAAAACGATCGAATCTACAAATTTGTTGAATTGTTTTCTAACCAATTCTAAATAATCATTAAAAAGTTCTTTTCGAATTTGAACATCGACTCTTTCGGAAAGTAATTTTAAATTTGACGAATATGTATAATAAATATAGATGGTAAAAAATATAATGAAAAAAATAAAAAAAAATGATAAAATTAAAATACTATTTTTCAAGAGCAAAATAGTATTTAAAAGTTTTTCATTTGTTTTTTTAAGAGAAGCTATCTCGTAATTATATTGCTCAAATTCATGAGCAACACTATCAGTAATTATTTGTCTTGTTTCTATTAAAATAAATAATTTAATTTTTTTTTTTAATAAATTTTAATAAAATAATAATAATTACCTTCAGAAATAACTGGTTCTGAATTCATTTTTATTCGATTTATTTATTATTATTATTTGAAATTACACAAATTTTAAAAAATTAAATTTAAAAATTCTGGCTCTTAAATATCTTCTGGAGCTGTTGTAAACGAATCTGATATTCCCACAATACCTGGATAAGGTGGAGGTGGCGAATCCGGAACAGATAACTCTGAAAAGGAATCTTCTCTGCGAGTAGAAGGTAATTGACTCGGATAATGTTCTTCTTGATTAGAAGCATAACGTCCAGATTCGGTTCGTCTCAAAAGGTATAACATGATAATATCAATTAATAAAACAATATATAAAGCTTGTAAGAAACACATAGAAAATTTATTATTGTTCAAGTTGCAGAAATG